AGATAATGCTATCAAACATGGCGTATGCCTATTTACGAGTCGTGTTCAGCTTTAATCCTATCGAAAGACAGTCACGTGATGAATGCATAGTACGTGTACTGAATGTAAGTCATTAACAAATTTCAATATCGCAAGGGCATACCCTAGTTGAAATTAAAAATTCAAGCTATTAATTGTTTCTGCACACTTTGTAGTTTCTGAAAAGTGCTGCTGCTTTGAATAGAATTCGCGTTTTAATAGATAAATTTTCAAGTAAATAGGCCAATGTCAAAAAATATTAGACTTTTACCAAATATTTTGTGTACTTATGAAATCACGCCTTCGATTTAAAGAAAGCAGCAGCACTTTTCCAGTTAAGGATAATATCCTTTATCTATATTCAAAAAATGATTAAGATCTATGCAGTGTATGCCCTTGCGAAAGTACGATTTTATGGTGCATCTCGATGTAAAATATACGTAACATGTACATAAAAACACGACATAATAAATAAAATACATTCTCTTGAAAGTTAATGAATAATCGCACTAAACAAAGGATCTACATTGGTATTAATCAACTATTTAAAACCTGTGAATAATTATTATAAAACGCATTTTCTGTGTTATAAAATTCCTCAAACTGCCTCTCACAGTACATGAAATACGTCATGTTTACCAAAATGACGTCATATATACAAGTTCTTCGCAATCAGTACTTTGTTTAAAACTAGCTACACGTGATTTACCTAGCATCGTTTTTAATGCATTGAAACGTTTTATTGTTGTTAATCATGCTAATACAGTTAAAAGTTGCAGATAATTTCATTTTCAAGTATTATGAGAAATACATAAAAGTCATATTTTTGTGTGACATCACAGTAAACTTTTCCCGTATAAATTAGGCCACGCCCCATAATTCAAGCCTTAACAATGCTGCGAAGGTGAAAGTTTTTGTGACGGACGGACAGACTGACAGACGAATGAGATTTAATGTCCCCTCACTTTCGCGAAAGCGGGGGACAAAAAAATCATATTTCTTTTTAAAAACCGCCGAAACACTCTCTGCCTCCATAATAACACTTGATTGAAATAGTCAAAAGTGGTCTAGAGTGTCGAGCCCTGCTAAATTTACGACAGGCTTGGTTGATAGATGTCTTTTATCAAAATCATGTTACTAGGGACAATGTCCCACTGACATCATCCCCTGTATCGCCTCCCTTGGACAGCGATCGGCATGTTACGATTTATTGTGGTCTCTTCCCTCAGACCACCGGAAGTTTCGCAGATCCGCTTTCTCACAGAACTTCAATTAAAATAGCATTTACGGTAATTGTCACATCCGCTCTTGTTCCTGAAAGAATTTCACTTCAAAGACTGCTTCAGATTTTCTGTCATCGGCAACAATAAATCTATTTCTCCTCAAACAAAGTATAAGGCATTGCATCAACTTCCCGCCTTAATTTCTTTAATATGTTTCAACGATTCAACAAACTCTCACTATGAAAGGACACAAAGAAAATGCATCAAAACTCTGACATTGAGTTTGCAGACGAAATTCCACCAAACCAGGAAGTTTCCAAGACCTGGATCTAACAATTGCCTTACCAGAGAGCAATGATAGCGGCATCACCAGATACTCATCAGGAGTTTCAAAAATTAAAGCCATTTTAGAGCAGAGATTGGTCTTAGCCAAAAGAAGAGAAAGTCTCAGACATGGCATCCAAACAGGGAAATTCCCGACTTGGTTCCACACCAGGTTCGTTTGTACCCTGAACCTCCTCGCCAAAGACGACAAGAACAATTTTGAGACATTCTGGTAGGAGACAATAAGAACCCAGACCAAACAAATGGCCCAAACTGTTTTGGACTACATCGAATCGAAAAAAAAATCATAGGAATTAGACAGCAATTCCGTGAGGAATGAAGCCTTGCAGGAAATAAGACGCAATTCTTATGACTTTGAAAAACACAAGTTTGACGAACAAATAACCAGAATTCATAAGAAACAGATTACTGAAATCCAAGATTTCAGAAATAGACTGGCTACCGTGACTCAAACTAGCCAAAATGCGCGCGACCAGTCCCGGCTAGGACGCGGGAGACCGTTTCGCAGCCGACCTACGGGACGCAGATAATTCAGGACGAAACCGTATGAACACTAATAGTGTTAAGACAATGTGACAATATCTTAATCATCTGGATTAGTCTACCCTGTACTGATTCATTTGTGACAATAACGCTTACAATTTAAAGTGATTGGAATTTTAATTCACTCTCAAGGTACAAAGTGCTAAAAACTTTTCACTATTGACACTTAAGTTAGAGTAATAATCAATATTACTTGTACGGTCAATTTAAGACTAAAATATAATATTATACTTGCATACCATTGTTTATATTCTTTATCTGTATACCTTTCAAAAATAAGGCATCAATATTCATTAGTCTCATCATAAAAATGAGGCATATCTAGAACCACGTGATATTCCTAGCTTCAGTTAAATCGTCCAAGAACAGCCTGTCGCAATATATATTGTTTCCTCTATTACAACGATCAGTCGTTTAATAGACAAGATTTTTAAGCTTTCACTCTACACAAAGTTCTTAACATTGAATTCTCCCCTATTAAAATGGCTAGACGTTTTAAAAGACGGAAAAAAATACAAAAAATCACAAGAGATCTCAAACCTCTTTATTGGATATGAAAAATGTTCACAAAACATATGAGAGTCGCTCGCAGAAATAAGTACTTAATTTATCCAAGTACACAATCAGTCGTCACGAATACTGTGCACTTTCCAAAGGCTTGAAATTCATATTAACTCCCCAAAAGAAAAAGTATCAAAAAAGTTAATTTAAATGACGAGTTTGCCAGATGCAAGTATCACTATGATAAGGGAGAAAACTCCCCTATACAGAAAACCAACGGGTCACAAACCCCCACTCGCTTGTAAAACTCTAGAACAATACATTGACAAAACGAAATTAGAATTATCATCATTCCAATCAGGAAAATACACAACAATACTCTAAACTAGAAAGAGAAGCACTTAATTCTCTGAGAAATAATAACAATATTGTTATCAAAAAAGCGGACAAAAGCAACACAATTGTTATTATGGACAAAGACTTGTATATCTCAGAAGCATTGCGCCAATTACAATCCAAACATTACATGCCTGTTGAAAAACACAACTTGCATAAAATGATACAAAATAAAATCACTTAAATGCACTCCAACGGAACAATAGATAAAGACACGTATCATTTTTCCAAGCGATAACAGACCCTCATTAAAATGCGGTCATCTTGACTTGCTCCCTAAAATACACAATAATCAAAGACAATGTACGAGATGCCCTCATGAAAGGCCAATGCAGCATCAGACAGCTACCACCTGGTCGCCAAATTATTTCACAGTGCGATACGCCAACACGTAACATAGGCGCTTTCTGTGATTATTTTCTCATTCCTATCGTACAAAAACAATCAACATATATTAAGGACACTACAGATTTCATCAGCAGAAATGAAACCTGTTATGTCCACTATACCGGTGTTCGTACCATACTGGGTTCATCATTTAGATTTAACGCATGCTTTCCGTTTTGTGTATTGGCCAGTTACCATGATGTTTTGTAGACTAGTTGAATAAACCATAGTCAGTTAATATTGTGTGTGTTTCACGAACCCTATAAACAGAGTGATAAACATAACATTTGGCGACGAGAACTGCAAATACTGGTACTATGGCTGTCTACGGGAAAATAGAGAACTACGAGTTCGACATGAATTGGGATGAGTATATTGAAAGTTTAGAACATTTTTTAACTCCCAATGGAATAGACGATAATGACAAAAAGAAGTCCATGTTATTGACAGTATGTGGTCAGAGAATGTACGGACTTATTCGTAATTTAACGTACCCGGAAAAGCCATCTGATAAATCCTATGCAGAATTGAAAACGTTGATAGCGCAACACTTGAAACCAAAACCACAAGTGATTGCGGAGCGATTTCGATTTAACCAGAGAAATCAGGGAAAACAGGAAACAGCTAGTCAGTATATTGCTGAACTTAGAAAGTTAAGTCAACATTGTGATTTTAGTGAGTTTTTGAATAAAGCATTACGTGATCGTTTAGTGTGTGGTCTTTCATCAGTGGCAACCCAGCGGAAATTATTAGCTGAGGACAAATTAGAGTTAAAGAGAACCGTGGACACGGCAATTTCTATGGAACTCGCTGAGAACGAAGCCCGCAAACTAAAGGCTGACGCTCGGGATGCTCACGGACATGAAACTGTACACAAGGTTAGTGTCGTAAAGAGTAAACCTTGCTACAGGTGCGGGAAGACTAATCACACACACGAAAACTGCTTCTACAAGACAGTAAATGTCACAAATGTCAGGAAATGGGACATATACATAAAATAAGCTCGAAAAAGAAATCTGTGCAACACAAGAAACAAAAGAAGTCCAAGTTAAATTTTGTGACCGAAAACCAGGACTGTTCAGATGACGACAATGAAAATGAACATTGGCCTATTTTCTCACTGTCAGGGGAAAACAGAGGAGTCAAAGCAATGAAGATTTCTGTAACACTGAAATATGTACCAATTAAAATGGACTTGGACACTGGTGCCTCTATTTCAGTGATATCGGAACAGTTGTACCATACTCACTTACAAAACAAAGTGACATTGTGTCCTAGTGAGGCTATTCTGAAGACTCATTCAGGTGAACTGTTAGGAGTGTTGGTTGAAGTGAAAGTGAATGTGAAGTATCATACACAGATGAAAACTTTACCTGTTGTTGTTGTGAAAGGTGTATTTAAGATAAGGGGATAAATACCCTAAAATGGGTTATTATGCCTCCGTAAACGAAGTTTCGGGGGTATATAGTTTTTGTCGTGTCTGTCTGTCTGTCTGTCTCTCTGTTTGTCTGTTTGTCCGCAAAAACTTTAACCTTGGCCATAACTTTTGATTTAGTGGAGCTATGACTTTCATATTTCATATGTGTATTCCTTCTGACAAGACCTCTCTTTGAGTACCACCAAATTTGAACTTTTGACCTCGACCTTGGAGTTTGACCCACTTTTACATAAAAATTTTAAAATTGTACTTTGGTCATATCTTTTGAACAGTAGACACCAGGACATTTATACTTCACATATGTAATGTTTGTTAAAAGACCTTTCACTGGATACCAAACAACCTTGACCCTTTGACCTTGACCTTGTAGATTTCCATACTTGTGAAAAAACTTTAACCTTGGCCATAACTTCTGAACGGTAAGGGATAGGGCTTTCATACTTCATATATGTAATCCTTGTGAGAAGACCCTTCATTGGATATGAAGATCCTTGACCATTTGACCTTAACCTTTGAGCTTGACCTACTTTAGAAAAGCAAATCTTGACCATAACTTTTAAAGAGTTAGGGCTAGTGCTTTAATACTTTACATATTTGATTGTTATGACAAGACTATTCATTTGATAACAATAACTTTGACCCTTTGACCTTGACCTTGGAGTTTGACCTACTTTTAAAGAAAATTTTTAAAATTTTACTTTGACCATATCATTTGAACAGTAGACACCAGGACTTTTATACTTCACATATGTAATGTTTGTTAAAAGACCTTTCAATGGATACCACCAACCTTGACCCTTTGACCTTGACCTTGTAGATTTCCATACTTGTGAAAAACTTTCACCTTGGCCATAACTTTTGAACAGTAAGATATAGGGCTTTTATACTTCATATATGTAATCCTTGTGAAAAGACCCTTCATTGGATATGAAGATCCTTGACCCTTTGACCTAGACTCTTTGACCTTGACCTCTGAGATTGGCCTACTTTAAAAAAGCAAACTTGACCATAACTTTTAAAGACTTAGGGGTAGTTCCTTTCATACTTTACATATTTGATCCTTATGACAAGACCTTTCATTTGAAAACAATAACTTTGATGCTTTGACCTTGACCTTGGAGTTTGACCTACTTTTTAAGAAATTAAACGTTAATCATAACTTCTAAATTGTTAGGGCCTGGGCTTTCTTGCTCTACATAATATTTTGTGTGGCAAGACCTTTCTTTTGATACTAATTACATTTACCTTTTGACCTTGACCTTGGAGATTTTTGTACTTATTAAAAACCTTTAACATTAGCTTACTTTCAAATTTCACAATTGTTTTTCAGTGAGAATACCCTACTTTTGGTACCAATTAATTAAATTTGCATTTAATAAAAGTTTAATCTTTGCTATGTTGCCATACGGGGGCATCAGTGTTTTACAAACACATCTTGTTTTTACTACTGAAAATTTTTATGAATTTTGGATAATTTCAATTTTTGCGCGTTTCTTTTTACAAACTAAAAACGTCCGCAAAAATAGAAATGATCAGAGGATGATTGTTAGGCTAACGTTTTCATACATGACAAACCGATGTAAAAAACACGTTTTACTGTTTTTTTAATCATTTACCATTCATCATACAGTACATGTATTCACGTTATTAATTTCTTGTTAAGAAAACTGCTTGGGTGAGAATGCATTCCCAATCCGATTTCATTACAGGCCAAGTTGATAAAATATTTTATACACAATTCTGGTAATTTTTTGTCCCCCGCTTTCGCGAAAGCGAGGGGACATTAAATCCTATTCGTCTGTCCGTCACAAAAACTTTAACCTTGTCCATAACTTTTGATTTAGTGGAACTATGACTTTCATATTTCACATGTGTATTCCTTGTGACAAGACCTTTTTTTGGGTATCACCAAATCTGACCTTTTGACCTTGACCTTGGAGTTTGACCCACTTTTACACAAATATTTCAAACTTTTACTTTGGCCATAACTTTTGTATAGTAGGTACTAGGACTTTCATATTTCACATATGTATTGCTTGTGGCAAAATCTTTCATTGGATAACAACAACCTTGACCTTTTGACCTTGGAGATGAACGTACTTATGGAAAAAACTTTAAATTGACCAGAACTTTTGAACGGTGGGGGCTAGGGCTTTTGTACTTTACATATGTAATCCCTGTTAGAAGACCTTTCATTGGACACCAATAACTTTTACCCTTTGACCTTGACCTTGGAGTTTTAATTACTTTTAACAACTTTAACCTTGGTCACAACATTTAACCATTAGATAGTCGGACTTTAATATTTCACATATGTATTCCTTGTGGCAAGACATTTCATTGGATATCAACAACCTTGACCTTTTGACCTTGGAAAGTTACGTACTTATGAAAAATCTTTAACCTTGACCATAACTTTTGAACGGTGGGGGCTAGGGCTTTCGTACTTCACATATGTTTTCCTTTTGAGAAGACCTTTCATTGGATATCAACAACTTTTACCCTTTGACCTTGGAGTTTTAACTACTTTAAAAAAAAACTTCAACTTTGAACACAACTTTAAAACGGTAAATACTAGGACTATTATATTTTAAATATGTATTCTTTGTGGCAAGTCCTTTCATTGGATATCAACAACTTTGATCATTTGACCTTGACCTTAAAGATTTACGTACTTATGAAAAAAACTTTAACCTTGACCATAAATTTTGAACAGTAATGACTATAGGGCTTTCATACTTCACATATGTAATCCTTGTGAGAAAACTTTTCATTGGATATCAACAATTTTGACCCTTTGATCTTGACCTTGGAGTTAACCTACTTTTAAACAAGAATAGATATGGGTTACCCCATATCCGAAGATATCCGACTGTTAGATTTATGATGTTTAACAGTGTTTATAATGACGTTAATAAAAAAAACTGCACTGTCTAATTATGGAACTGTTGTAAATATCGTGATTCCATAGCATTATGGTCACCCAGTCTCCGAACAAACAGTACACATAGCCTGCATGTACCTGTAGCCTTGGTCTACACACGTGCAATGGAGCTGTCACACGCATCCAGCGAGCTCGGAGAAACACGTTTTGTTTTGCCGAGAAGTTACGGTGTCAGACAAAACTTTTCTTTTCTGATTAATAAAAATTATACAATCCCTGTTGAACTTCATATAGTTTGTTCTTACATTTGCATCTGCAACAACTTGTGTTTAATTAAACTGAAAACATGGAAAACCTTTTTCGTTATGAAAATAACTGAAATATACTAATATATTTGTCGCAGAAATTACTTACATTGTTCAAGTTCTATATATAATGGTATGCTGAACTTCAACACGAACCCGAATCTCCAACCCATGCAGTTCTCGTTTTGCCACACATACCCTACAGTTTACAAAGTGTACACACGAGCAGGCCAGGGATTGAAAATTCCGTCATTTAATAATAAACACACACACAGAATGATTAATTTTTTCTTTAAGAACAAATTGTATGATAATTAACAGACTATAAACATGTATTTAATACAATTGTTGATATAGTATTATCAATTCATTGGTGAAAAGATATGAATCGAAGAATGACCTAATTATTCCCTGTTATCAAACACGTAAAAAAAAAGGCTGAGGAGGGAGCGAGCGTAGGAATATTTATATTTTTTATTTGCATTTCGGGGGGAAAGTGACTTTCTAATGATATTTTGACGTTATTTTTGATTTCTTTAACGTATGACATACACAACTTTACTCTTATCATGAACAATAATGTTGTATCTACTTATCATGATGGAATTATTTTGGTCGGACCAATATGTGTGAGCTGCCGCTGAAAACAATTATATATCTTGCAAAGATAGTATGCATTGATCGAATATATAGAAAACTTTTTACTTTGGCCATAACTTTTTAATGGTCAGGATTAGGGTTTTCATCATTTAAAAAATTAACTTCAATGTTACTTTCTAAATAAATGACATATGATAGGATGTTCATATTACACACAATATGTCATAAAGATAACATCTCACCCACAAAGACACCAAAAGCGGGGGACCACAATTCTTTGAATTTGCTTGTTTGTTTTGTATGTTACCAATCTTAAGTCATGTTTTTTTTTTCAATGTTGCAAAATATGTATGGGAAGAAGAATACAATGAGGATAATTGCCTGACAGCTGGGGATATGCCCGAACGTTTTTCAATTTGTGTTGAAATAGAAAACAATTGTTTCAAAAATGTTTAGTTAATCAAAAACATTTTCTTCATCTCCAAAGGAAAAAAAAATAATGCACAAAGTTTAGCTCACCCAACTACTTTTGAATGACTGACTTAAAAGAGCTGTATTTTGATTGGTAAACAATGAAAACTCAGTGTAACATTCATTTTGGATCAAACAAAATGTCCTGGACATATTATGTATACAATCAGGGTTCTCCATCATTTGAAATGTTACTGTGTTGCAGAGTTTACGCGAAACACAAAAATTTCGCGATATTTTCGCGGTAAAATTCGCAACTGAATCACTATTCATTATAATTACAAAAGAATACATACACATGCTTTTTAAAAATTGATAATCCGTTACACAAATGGTATGACCGTGTATATTCATAAAAGTAAAAACACGTTTTCTAAAAAGCAGAGGAAATTCTGGTCAATATTGCCGAACTACTTGTACTTAACATTTTTGAAGGTAATTTTGCCGTGATTACTTGTCCGTTGTCTTGATCGAATTAGCGAACTTCAGAATGGTAAAATACTTTAAGAGTTCCTTGAACATGTTGAAAATTTTAAGCTATTTATTTACATTAATGGAATGACTTCGGTACGATGTTAAATTTGACTGTCAGAGCTTCATGTTAAATAATTCTAGAGCCGTGGGTCTATAGAAAAGACATATCTAAATATTTTTATTTAAAAAAATATAAGCATTTTTAGCAACTACCAATTAACCGTTATGGAAGTGCGAAAAAAAAATCTTTCTCTGTGTTCCCTGATGCGTTAAGTCCGGCGAGGGTCTAGGAGATAATTAATTAGCAAGGTAAAGCCCTTGTAATTTAATGCTCCACCGTTTAGAATTGAAAGACGGTCGAATTGTTTGATTTAAGATTTACTTAGAGAGACTTAATTTACATGTTTAGATTTTCTAATTATCACAGATTTTACTGTGTCGGCAAAATATTTACTGTGTCGCACGCATATAATTTTAATCGTTACTGTGTCTGAGAAAAATTTACTGTGTCGGGAGCAACACAGTAAAACAGCTCATGGAGAACCCTGACTGTATACATGCTTCTTTTGAGGAGGTTTCCATTTTATTGTTGTCTAGGGAATCAACCATTAATAGGTTTCAGAAAAAGTGCTACATGTAATAGCAATAAGTAATAGCGTGGACTACTTCATCATCTGTTTTGGCTATACATGTATATGAATTGAAGGTTTCATTCAATATTCAAAATTTCATAATTGTACAATTTCTTAATACCCCTTGCCAATTTCTTTGTTTTGTTAAGAACTCAAAATGGAATGAAATTGTGTTGGAATTGTATTCGGCGCGCCAATCTCATCCCAGTATCACAAAAGTATTTTCTACCAGCATTTAAAAAATCGAATGACAGTGATTTTCTTTATTATTTAAGCGTTGTCGCTTATATTCAAGTCGGCAGTCCGAGCCCGATTGAATTTCGTTTTAGGTGGTGGATCCAGAAAAATTTCCCTAGGAGGTGGTGGCTCATATCGCAAAGGGAAAAAGTCCAAGGGATAGCTTTAGTAAATTTACTATTTAAGTTTAAATGCCGTAATTTATTTTTGTAAATATAAGGCCGATATTAAAGTGTAATTCTCCCCTAAGTAAGGAAAGGGCCATATTTTATTTATTCGCAGGCCAATCATTTTAACCAATCATTTTTAAAAGGAAAATCATTTGTCATTTATATCAATATTTACCGCGATCCTGGAATCAACCCCTGAACACGTTACAGGGAGAAACTTTTGTGAAAGAAATGGCTTTGCTATCAATAGCCCTTTTAAACAAACTTTGATCAGAAAAATACCTTATAAATTTATTGAAAAATACTGAACAAGATGTCTTATATTTTTTGCTATATCATTCTAAAGTTACAGC